CTTACCACTCGGTGCTTGCGCGCACCATTATTGTACATCGGAGGGGCTTGTAGTCTTGCGAGATCATACCGACCGCGGTTGTGGTGTGGCCGCCACCGTGTACCGGAGAGAATAAGGCCATGCGTTTGACCGTAAGCTTGATAGTGAAGACGGCGGGGAGCATCTTGGAGAGGCTTGCCGAAGGCACGTCGAAGACCCACTTGCGCAGCGTGGGAAGGTCCGAGGCTATCCGGCGGAGTTACCGACTGGGAGCTTGGCCCTCAATTCGCGAGGGGCTCCAACGAGGACTAGGGGAAGCTTGCGCTTCTCGATATCTCGGTAAAAATACCGTAGAGTCGTCGACGGGAGTTTGCATATCTCTACCTTGCTCTTTAGTTTCCGCATTTACATTGTTTACTTTACTCCTTTTATGGTAGAGATAGCAATACACTAGTAAAAACCGTAGTTGCACATTTAGATAGTTTATCTTTTGCATAGGTTTTGTTAAGGTTAGAAAAAAGAGGCCATAGTTTAGAGTTAGAATTTTAAGGTGCCTAATTCACCCCCCCTTAGGGCGTCACGGTCTACTTCAACACCAACAGGTCTCAAACCTGCAATGGTTCATCAAAGGCCACACCTTCAACTCTGACATGATAGCACTGGACAAGTTGCCATATGATGCTATATTGGGCTTTGACTGGTTGTAGTCCAACAGTCCAATGCAATGTGACTGGCAATCTAAGACACTGAAATTTCAGCACAAAGGCAATATAGTGACTCTCCAGGGCTGAAATGTCCTCCTCTGCAGCTCAACAATATTTCTGCTAAACAAGTTTACAAGTCATCTCAAGGCAATGATATTTGGGCTTATGTGGTTGTGGATTCTATTGCTGTGTCACATACACAAACAGCACCTACTCCCACAATACCTGAGGACCTCAAGCATCTACTGGATGTCTATGCAGATGTTTTCCAGGATCCACAACAACTACCTCCATCAAGGAGTTATGATCATGCCATTCCACTTCAACCAGGGTCATTACTAGTGAACTCTAGGCCCTACCATTATTCTCCACTTCACAAAATGAAATTGAAAAGCAAGTGAAGCAATTACTGGAAAGTGGCCTCATTGATCATAGCCACAGCCCATTTGCTTCTCCTGTAATACTAGTCAAGAAGAAGGATGGTAGCTAAGCGATTTTGTGTTGACTATAGGAAACTTAATGACTTGACCATCAAGAATAGGTTTCCTATGCCAATCATTGAGGATATTTTGGATGAACTGTCTGGCTCTAAGTTCTTTAATAAACTGGATATGAGATCTGGTTATCATCAAATCAGAATGTTACCAGCAGATGAGCACAAAACTGCATTTAAAACACATCAAGGGCACAATCAATTTAAAGTTATGCCATTTGGTATCACTAATGCTTCTGCCACATTCCAATGTCTTATGAATCAAATACTTCAACCCTTCCTCAGGAAATTTGTGTTGGTCTTTTGGATGATATACTCATCTATAGTGCTAATTGGGCTGAGCATCTCCAACATGTGCAAGAAGTGTTAGCAGCCCTTAGAAGCAACAAGTTGTACCGCAAACTTTCAAAATGTACATTTGCTTAGTCCAGTCTTGAGTATTTGGGACACATCATCTCTGACAAAGGTGTGGCCACAGATCCAGCCGAGACTACAGCAATGCTTCATTGGCCAACACCTACTTCAATGACTGAGCTCAAAGCTTTTCTAGGCCTTACAGGATACTACAAGAAATTTGTCAAGCACTAGCACTATGGGATCTTGGCCAAGCCCCTCACCAACATTCTCAGACTCAAGCAGTTTCAATGGTCACCTGCAGCCCAATAGGCCTTTGACAATATCAAGACAGCAATGGCCAAGACTCCAGTCCTTGCTATGCGCAATTTTCAACTTCAGTTCACAGTGGAATCTGATGCTTGTGCAGATGGAATTGGAGCTGTGCTTATGCAGCAAGGTCAACCTATAGCATTTCTCTGTAAGGCACTTGGAGAGAAACACAAAACTTATCCATCTATGAGAAGGAGTTTCTGGCACTAATCATGGCAGCAGTTGAAGTGGCGCCCCTATCTCCAACGCCAGGAATTTGTTATTCTCACTGACCATAAGTCTCTCTCTTATTTGACTGAGCATAATTTGCACTCAGACGACAGAGAAAAGCTATGACCAGATTAATGAGACTACAATTCAAGATAATTTACAGGCAGGGAAAATAAAATATAACAGCTGATGCCTTATCCAGGGTGGCCCATCTGTATGCTCTTCAAGCAGTATCAGTGGTTCAGCCTCAGTGGGTGCAAGAAGTGTTGAATTCATACACTACAGATCCAAAAGCCCAACAGCTACTAACTGAGTTGGCCATAGTAAACCCCAATGACAAAGGATTCAGTCTAGATCAAGGACTTATCAGGAAAGACAATCTCATTTGGATTGCTAACAACTCAGCCCTACAGACAAAGCTCATAGCAGCATTTCACTCTAGTGCTATTGGTGGACACTCAGGAATGACTGCTACCTATCATAGATTGAAGAGGTATTTCAGTTGGAAAGGCATGAAGAAAGATGTGGATAGCTACATCACCCAATGTGCAATCTGTAAACAGGCTAAACAAAGTCACACTCATCCAGCAGGAATACCGCAACCTCTACCAATACCTGCTGGAGTTTGGAGGGATCTGTCCATGGACTTTATAGAAGGTCTCCCAAAGTCAGAGGGCTATTATGTGATCTTGGTAGTGGTGGATAGGCTCACCAAATTTTCTCACTTCTTGCCAGTGAAACACCCATATACTACAGTAACAATTGCCCAGCAGTTCCTTGACAACATTGTGAAGCTACATGGTCTTCCTCGGACCATTGTGACTGACAGAGATACAATATTTGTCAGTAATTTTTGGAAAGAGCTTTTCAAATTGTACAAGGTAAATCTCAATCTCACCACTGCCTACCACCCTCAATCAGATGGACAAATCGAGAGAGTTAACCAGTGCCTTGTTCTTAAGATGCTCAGTACAAGACTCCCCAAAGAATAGAAAATCCTGGCTGTCTTTAGCAGAATTATGGTATAACTCCTCATTTCATAGCTCTTTAGGCTGCTCTCCATTCAAGGCTCTCTATGGTTATGATCCAAACCTGGGTGCATGTCCTAACATCACTGCAGACACCTCTCCATCTGTGGCTCAGATCATTGACAATCGAGAGTATCACTTACAAGCCCTGAAACAATGGCTGGAACAAGCCCAGAACTGAATGAAAATCCAGGCTGACAAACAGCACTCTGATAAGTAATTTTAGTGGGTGATCAAGTGTTACTGCGTCTGCAACCCTACACACAGTCTTCAGTGGCAAATCGCCCATTTCCCAAACTCTCTTACAAATTCTTTGGACCATACAAAGTTTTGGAAAGGATCGGCAAAGTAGCTTACACACTGCAATTACCAGTTGACAGTCTCATACACCCAGTCTTCCATATTTCCCAGCTGAAAACATTCCATCCAGATCATACACCAGTGTTCTCCACTCTGCCAGTGGTCACTGACCTTCAAGCAACCTCTACTCAACCGTAACACATTCTAGACCGTCGTCTGGTCAAGAAAGGTAACACAGCAATACCACAAGTTCTATTGTCTTGGACAGGCTTGCCGGAAGCATCTGCTACCTGGGAAGACTACTACGTCGTCAAGCAAAGGTTTCCAGGTGCTCCGGCTTGGGGACAAGCCAGTCCTTCAGCGGGGGGAGCTGTCACGACTCAAGGCTGATGGCGAAGGCGGCAGCTAGACAAGGCGCTTTTCAATACAGAAGACGTTATCTCTTATTAATGTAATAGTTAGTCTATGACATGTGGGTCCTCAGGACCAATGGCTGTATGCCTTATATTCTGAACTCGCTGCTGTAAGAGACTATCGAAATATTGTAATACTGAACCGCGAGAGACAGAGGTCGTCCTCTGCTCCGGTGGCCGATTCCGGCAGTATCCTTGTCTTGCTCACGTCGACGGCGAAAGCCGGCAGCCACGGGTGTTACAACCAGCCACCCTCTGGTCAATGCCCCCTAGTTGGGTTTCATTAATGAGTAATGTTGACACACTATGTTAATTAATGGCCGGTTCCCTTATTTTTGCGAGATAATGGCCGGTTCCTGTGGTAACCTATGGGGTTGTCCAAAGGAAGTTCAATGCTCTATATTAAAACTTAAGATTAGGATCACATACTTTGGATTCGTTCTTGATACGTATGGTATGGCGAGACAAACTATGGAAAAAAAGGGCGCAAGCTTTATCAATTGCAAATTGCTTGACCTGGCACCTTGTTGGCACCATCCAAGTATCCAACACTTGGCTTTACCCTGATCTCGCTTCATGACAATAATTTCGTACTGCCCAAGACCATCAAAGATTGTTTTCATCTTGTTACAGTCAGCTTTTAGCCATCGGGGAGCAAAGAGACATCCAGCTTCCAACTGGGTCAGCTTCCATGCTGTGTGCCCTGTCCGCGTATTACCTACCAGTTCATTGCATTCTTTGTGCCATCCACTGCAGATAAGCTTTTGATTATTCTATTCCTGATGCAGATTCACTTTCTGTGCCATGTGCTGTTGCACACTGACCAAGCGGAATTTGTTCAGAAAATAACTCAGTTAAGGAATTTGTCTCTGCCGACAGGAACTCTCAGTTATCGAGTTAAACACAGCATTGCAGAGAGAGTTTGCCATCTATTTGGACTAGTGAAATGCTGTTGAGCTTGGAAGAATACTATTTTGGCAGTCACTTTCACAAATCCCTCTGTGTTCCAAACTTCGAGGGATGCAGAATGATGATATATGTAATGACAATAATCACAACATTAAAAGTATTATTTCTGCTCTTTATAAATAATAAAGAACTTATTGACCATCCAACACATTACACATCTTTATGAACCAATCGATTGTAGCAAAACTGAAAAAAATCTAAGCTACTTTTTTTCTATCTCCACCTTTTGTAGATACACTTACCCAATTGGTGGATTGGTTGTGTTTGGTAGTCTTTGCCCGAGTACAATTGACTGAAATAGCCTGAGAGCGCGGTCTGGCTGTGCAAATGGCACCATGTGAGATGCACCTCGCACTGTGGCGAAGGTCAGAAAGTTGCCATACTCTGTCACCCAGCCTCCAACCTAGAATGCAAATGGCCAAAGATTTTTTTCCACGGTCAGAAGAGTTCTATTTGCATCAGAATCTTGTTTATACAGTATGAGCAACAAGTTCGTCAAGTTGGACACAAACTGTGGTTATTGAACATGCAAAACTATACCTGGCCTTTGCGGAACCAAGTGCTGTAGGGGACTGTGACATGCAACCCCATGGTGTGAGCTAGCTCTCGCACAAGGGTGCGGCTGCCCAACAAGGGCACAACAGAGTCTTGATCGCCGCTGTAGTGTCGAGTCATAGTGTCACAAGATATTGACATGAAGTGAAACTGTTTTATGTATGAAGTAAAGGAGAGTTACATCACCTGAACACCCAAAGTGGTATCTTGTGCTCAACAATTCTTTGAAGTGTAGGCAAGATGTTGATGTTGCCATCGGTATTGCTGTAGTTCAGGATACTGGCACATGATGCAAATGACCCGTGTGAGTTTGCATTGGAGAGATGACCAACCTAATCATTTATATTCAATTTCTGATAATTGGGCTTCTCTCGTATCACAACTACTATTTATATGCTGTATTTATTTTCAACATTTTTGAAAGCAATTCTCTTTAGAATTATATATACTGGGAGGATACATAGGTAATAACAAGTGCGAAAAACTCTTTTCTTGGAACTTTACTGTAAGAACGTACATCTTTGAAAACTACTTATGGAAGCATCTAAATTCTGAACAGTGTTAGGACAAAAAAATAACTGGTACAAGTAGCACTGGCACACTTACTCACTGCACATGCTCCAGTGATATTTCAAATGTGTCCTATTGGCATGCAGAGCCTGCTGCACTTCTGGTAGATTGAAATAGAAAAACGTTTCGTAGGTCATGCAAACATCCACTCCCACACTGATTTTCGTTGCCTGCAATGAAAAAAAGAGTCAATCACACAGGAGGCATGAAATGGTTCTGAATATTACCATGTGTAAAATGAGGAGCAAACATACATATTTTCGCAACCGTAGCTCCTGCATCACAATTGATGGGTAGCAGACATCAAGAATAACATCATAGTTGTTGATATACTCCCCAACTATATTGTTGGCTTCTGCAATGGCATCATTGCATGACTTGCTCTCGTTGTGGGGGCTATTGAAGGTGTAATCCTCAAAATCACAACTGTGGCTGATCGCTAGAAATATTTCATCAGAGATCATTCCATGAGACCAGAAATACTCATAGGTTGCAGGGACATCCCTGTCAAGCTTGAGAAGTGGATTCCCAATCTGTTCAAGGTAATTTTGAGTTAAAACTTAGTAAGAACAATGAAGTTTAGGACATTGACCATCAATTACTTAGCAGACTCCCTTAATATTGAACTTGAAACCCTTTGATTTCTCGTTATGGGTGAGAAGTACATCAGTGAGTTGTGGTATATAATGCCCTGCATTGTTGTTTATCAATACCATTCACCATACAAGACAAACAGATTATACTAAAACATGAGAATTAACACTTGAAATATTTCATTACCTGCGTAACTCTCCAGTAAGAAATAAAGCTCTTGATCTGTACTCAGAAAACTTCGCATACCATCCCAACAAAATTGGTACATGTCATTAGCTGCATAGTTAAATTGACAAACAGTGAGATCCAGAATTCCAGCTTAGTTAAAGCTATGATTATATGAGATTTTTTCTAATGCAAGTTATAAAAGATCGTAATGCCACAATATTGCCTTGGAAAAATTCAAGCGGTCTTCGTCCTACTTCCAACTTTTTCGTGTCCTCCATGCCACTTCAAAATCGGTTTGGGCTCTAACACCGTCAAACTGCAGTGTGAAAAGCCAATACCCATAGAGTCTAAATATGTTATTAATTTTTTTGAGCATCTTAACGACTTCAAATGAAAAACTCAAAACTAGAAAGTTGTAGATCTCATCGAGATCTATAATTTTCATATAAAATTTATTTTCATTTAATTCCACTTAAAAAATAATGATTTTCTAAAGATATATTAATCATATCAAATCATATTTTTTTGTGAAATTAAATGAAAATAAATTTTATATGAAAATTATAGATCTCGACGAGATCTACAACTTTCTAGTTTTGAGTTTTTTTCATTGAAGTAGTTAAAATAAAAATTAATAACATATTTAGAACTAAGGTAAATTTTCACACCGCAGCTTGACTCGTATGCTAGGAGCCCAAACTGAGCGGCAGCATGGAGGACACGTAAAAGTTGGAGTAGTGGCGCCAAGACCGCTCAAATTTTGCGAGGCATTACAGAGCGAATGCGATCTTTTATAAATCTTTACTAAAAGCTCATGATTAATTAACTGTCAGAGCAACTAACCTGTCACACATCTCCAGTGTTGTAGTCTGATGAAGTGTTTGAATAAGACCATCCAACTCCAGCCGGTGATTCCACAAACAGAAGATTGGACGCTGCCAAATTGAAGGTAAAACAGCATTGAAACAAGCTAAGCGTTAAGACCTGCACTTTCCATTCTTACTGAAGAATGGGATGGAAATGTAACAACAGCCTAAAGGTCAACCTTTGTTCCATGACTTCTTGTTCAATCTGAGGCCTCGACCATCTCCTCGCATGGATAAAACGGCCTAGCTCTGTGAAAGCACCGCCTCCAATCGAAGAACAGCCAGGACCTGACAAATCAAATGGGCTGATGACTCTAAGCAGGAGAATGTCTCCAACAACTTTAAAATGCATTTCCTGATAATTCATTAAGTTCATTGTCATTGTTGTTACCAGTAACAAATGTACTGTTCCTTGAAGCGAAGTTTATTATTATTCTTCTTCTTTCGTCCACTGAGATGAAATCAATTGCCCGAAGCTTTCTGCCGGTGTGTCTTTTTGCTGCATTGGGGATCAAATGATTTCTCACTTCTTTGCACGGCATCACAGGGGTGAGACAGGGACCACACCACACAGAGCTTCCGATAGGAGTGAGGCTCTAAACAGGGCAAGGTCACATGGTCATGGTGACACCAGGACAAAGCCTTATTAGATTGGCTGGTTACGTATGCGTTCTTTGGTTGATGATATCTTTAACGGCGCTGGTTTGTGAGAGAAAAATACTGTTCTATTTGAAATTTGCGATCGTATATGGCCATTGTAAAGCAGGTCCGCTGAAGATACCCTAATTGTATGTTAGTAAACAGAAAATTGTCAAGATACAAATTAGGCCTTGTTTTAGTTTCTCTCATTAAAGTTACTTTCTGTCACATCAAGATATCTAGACACATGCATGGGTATTAAATATGAACTAAAAAATAACTGTTGTACAGTTTGTGACTAATTTGCGAGATGAATCTTTTAAGCCTAATTAATCACTTGATTCAACAATGTGGTGCTACAATAACACATATTACTGCAATTAATTAGGTTTAATAAATTCGTCTCGCGGATTCAGACAGATACGTAATTTGTTTTTTAAA